ACTTCATAGAAAAGATGCAGCACTGAAACTGACAAACTGACGTTTTTCATCTCCTTTTCTAAATACATCAGATCCAATGCTGATAAAATATTTCTCCCTTTTTTCCCTCAGTGTCCTTTACCATTATAGTCTCAAATGCTGAAGTAGAAATTAATATTGCTGTGCTGTTTTTTAAAACTAAGATTGTTTTGGCTACTTGGAGATATAATAACAGATTGCCATTTGGGGTATGATGGTGTCAAACATGTTGAAACAACATACAAGGAAAAAGCACCAACTTTTACTTGGTATCGTCATGGATAGGATCCTAGATTAGGATCTTCTAGGTACAGCATGCCATTAACTGCCCTTTACTTATTACCTGTAATTAAGGTACTTATCTCATTTTGGCAGCATGGAATCACTCCTTAAGGAAGCATCTGGGGTCATTTGTGACGTGTTTTTTGTGACTGCTGCTGTTCTCCGTACTTGTTATTACTTTTCATCTACTGAACTTACTAGATAATGCGGTTGAATTTATTGTGTTCTAAATCATCTCAGAAACTAGTATTCAGTGATAACCAATGGCCTTGTTCATTGCTATCTTATGGATATTGCAGAAATTAAAATGTTGACTACTTTGGTGACAAAAGATGTCTAATTGATAACTCATAAATTATGCAGTGAGTTTGTAAATTTGTGAGGTCACATTTCGGAAGAGAAAGGATAGCCTAATTAAAAGGAGAATATGGATAATTGGAAATATTTAAATAGAACTGTGGGCATGTACAGTGAGAGTAATGGCAATAGGAATGTGCAGGGCAGATGTCACTGAGCTAACACCAGTCTGAGCAAGTGGAGCTCCAGGGCAAATACTGTTGCCCCAGATTGCTAGTTGACATAGTTTAGGTGGTCTTGCATGCTCAGCAGGGTGGTGGATTTGAAATTGTTGCATCATCTTGAACAATTTATTTAGGGATAAGTGCAAGTTGATTATATGGCATTGCTGAAGCGTGTTAGTGTGGCAGCATGACATTCGTTTCATAAATTCTTATTCAGAGATCTCCCAACTCTGTATTTCGAAGGCTAAGTGTGCTGAAAGTACATGTTGCACCTATATAATGGAGGCTGTATTGTAAACACATGTGCACCCGTATGTTGAAGGCCTGTTAAAAGCCCTAAAAGCCCTTTCATTGCTGCTCTCAGTCTGATTCTTTATGCTATTTATCAGGCTAGTTTATGTATTTCTGCTGAAAACTTTCTGTGGCCCTAGAAAAAAAATACGTAGACACTGAGTATAGTGAGTGAGTCTGTTTTGAATAGATGCCATCTAGTGTGTATAGATGCCTCTTGATCATGAGATGACGGCCAGCTGAGTGGAGCTGCATCCATTTTCTGCATGTTCTTGTAGCTTTTTTATTGGAAGGCTACAACACAATGGAGACCACCTGTAGTGTTATAGTTCACCATATGGTTCACCCATAGTTTCAAGGTACCAGAGTGGAAGTCATCCTATCTTTCTGCCGTGCAATAAAGCTGTATTCTGTTGATCTGTAAATAGGAGATTAGTGACGTTTAATTGAGGGTCATATTTTTGCAAAGCTGGCAGCTTTTAATGTTTTTTTTCTATAAAATCTTGGTTTCATGTTAGCCTCCAGAAAGGTCCTTGATTTGAGCTCCCCTTCCTATAATATCTTCAGTAAATAGGAACTATATTTCTGCTACATTACAGTGTATTAATGGTCTGCTATGTTCTTTTGTCAGGGTTCTCTGACTTCCAAATTCAGTTCAACAACACTTACTGGGAGTTTCGTCCTGAATACCTGTTTGACTTCAGCCAAAATAAACAAGGACAAGATCTGAACTCTTAAGCACGGGCGGTGGAAACACATTGATGATCCTCTTCTGTAGAAAGACAAGAAACAACTTTTTATTCCCCTCCCTACCCCCTGCCCACCCAGAGGTATTGCTGTGTTCTTCTTGCTTTGCCCTGGGTTTGGATGTCACTTGCCCTGTGCAAAGACAGATCACTGAAGTCTTAGTCCTTGGAATCAGTAATTCTACACTGTAACTGTTATCGTCCCTCTTGGGAAGTATAGGCTGACCCTGAAGCTCATTATTTTAGAAGGACAATTCCTAGTGGTAGTTTTGCTTGTCCTTATACATTTTTATATTGTGCAAGAAAATGTTATTAATTACAAATGAAAACCTGCTGTTATAAAGTTGATCATTTAATGGACTTGCTGCCCTTAGAAAACTTGGAAGGCTACAAGTATTTAAAAATAATAATTTTAAGATAACTTCAATTGCCTGTTAGGCTTTTTAACTGTTTTATGTTTTTTGAATGCAAGACATTTGAGGGAAACAACTGATAGGAATCTGTTTAATAGTATAATGCCATTTTTAGATTTGGAAATCTACACTATGTAAATTACTTCCCCCTCCTTCCCCCCCCCCAGTGGAAACTGGGGATCTTTGGATTTATTAACAGTTGTACTGATACATGAAATAAAATGTATTTTAGGAGTTCTTTTATTATACATTAATAGTTACACATGGACTAATAAATGATCAGTGACTGTGCAGCTAAAGTTAATATAGAATTTAAGAAAGGGACAATTTTTATTGTTGTTTAAAAGCGTATTGCAAAAATGTTCAGTGAATCAGACTGAAGTATTGCAGCAGGAAGTAAATTAATGGTATGTTAGGTGGAAAGAGAAAGAAGCATTATACTCTTGAACAGTGTGGTAAATTATGTTTTGGTTTGAACAGGCTGTTTCCCACAAAAGACTCCAGCAGTGGCGCAGACAAGCACTGCAGGTAAGAACCATCTCAGAAATCCACTAGTTCTTAATCTGCAATAGAATAGAGCTGTGTTGCATGTTGTATAGGAACTCTTATATTATTAGTTATTTTTAACACCTTTTGCAGTAGCTTGGAAAGGTGTTCTTGGCAATAAATTTTGTGCCCTAAGTTCCCCTTTGTAGAAACACTCTTCTCGAGATTTCTGGGCTGAAAGGGTGGCAATATGCTTAGTTGTGTATTAAAAAAATTGTTTCTGGCCAAAAAAAAAAAAAAAACCCTAATCCAGTCAGTATGATGAGATTTGTAGTGCTTCTGCTGTAAATGATGTAATCATCATTCGGAGTAGTGGCCATGTGCTGTTATTTTTTCTCTTTTCTTAAGCTGTTTCTGGCTCAGTTCTGCTGCTACAGGACTAGAAAGTGAAGGCAATTACAAGACTTGGCCATTCCTCAGTGTTTACCTATTGCAGTGCAGTTATTTTATAAAACAAAACATTCCTAGAGCTGTTGGATTGAAGTTCATTCCTCTGCCTCTTTATAGTTTCTGAAATCATTGCTGTGCAGGTACTCTTCCTAATAGTCCGGCTTTTTGATCTAAGAGAGAGTTGAGCATTATGTTCCAAAACATTGACCTTTTTTTTTAGTTAGTCAGTGTAGTATGGGATTATTTTATATATTAATCATTTTTCTAAAAGGATGCAAATGGTAGTTTAATTCTTTATTATAGACCCATGCTTTAAGACAGGTTAAATTTGTGTGTGTGCACGCGCGTGCGTGTGCTATGTGGAATAGGTTGTAAATTCCTTGGGGCAGGAGCTGCGTTTTCATCTGCTTAATGTGTCTTATGCACTCATGGTTCATTATTTCAAACAGAAAACTATACAAGGGGAGTATTGGGTTTTTTTAATCAGTTCAGGAGAACTAGTTAAATGCAAGAAAGTTCCACCCCTTGCACATAGAGCAGAATCATGCGGTGGTGAATCAAAATGTTGTCGATGTGCATATCCTGCACAGGCATTTCTTTTAATCCATGCAGTAATCCGTCTATACTGCAAAGTGTAGGTTTGGCAAATGGGTTGCAGAGCTAGATCATGCAGCTGATCCTCAGCATCATGACATGATGGGTAATACGATCTCATGAAGTACTTGCCACCTACTGAATCTGTTCAGGCTGCTTGCAGTGATAAGGATGTGGGGCTCCATATGTGGGGTATCAAGGCATTTATTAACATACCAAGTGAAGGAAAATGGTCTTTGAAAGTGAACGCATAGGAACAAGCTAGAATTTACAAGCTAGGGTTTCAAACTGGACTGTGCTTAGGATCCCAAACCTCCAATTGGCTGAGACCAAAAATTGTGCATATGTTAACTAATTATTGCTGTTGTCATGAAGTCAAGGGATAGAGGCTTATATTGTGTTAAGGTGGTCAACCAACTAAAAACAAAACACACAATGCATGTTTGGCACATAACTCTTGACAGAGGGGTTCTGTTTACATTTAGTTATTATCTTGAATGCAGTTGCATTGCATTTTGCATTGCTTTGAATACACTTGGACTGATAAGCATCCAAAGTAATTTAAAAAGTCATCCTATAGCTAAACCTAAAGTCTTGCAAAAAGACTTTTTTTTTTTTTGGTCCTATAAAATGCTAAAAGTGCACTTGCAGTTCATGTTCTGTCTCTTCAGCGTTTGCAGAAGGAGATGAAACTTCTGAAAGTTACTTTGATGCTTCCAAGAACTTCAGTTTTTGGCTTAAAAATTATGTCCTTTTCTCGTGCCACACTTCTGTCTTTGAATTTGTAAACCTAAACAGCACCAGTAACTAGGTAACAGCACAACTGAATGTTTTCATAAAAACAACTTTGCTGCTTAGAGATGTGATTTACTCTTCAAGTGCATGCGTGTACACACACATATATATATATATATATACACACACACACACACAGGCAAAAATGATGATGACCTCATCTTAACGAGCTCACAAGAGATTGTTACTGTTTAAGCCAAAGATGGATTTACTGTAAGTAGATGAAACTCAATTGAATTCAGTAGTGGTATCACCATTAATGTCAGGTCTGACTTAGTTGTTGTGATAATACTATTTGTACCGATCAATGCCTGAAATATAAAGCTGAAAGAAAAAAATTTCTATCCTGCAGCTTTCCTGGTATTTTTGCACAGAAGGGAAAGGAAGAGAAACTAGTTAAAATATAAGGTTTTACAAGTAAGGCTTAACATTTTATTTATTTGCTTAATTTTGATATTACCTACTTAGAAGTCTCCTCTTAAACCAATTTAACAGCCCTTGCACATTGCCCTTACTTAGAAAAAGTTGTAAGTAATGTCATATTGCAAATACTAGATACATAAAACAGACTTGCACATTTTCTAACCTAAGTTAGTTAGTTAAAAAAAAAAAAAAAAGCATCTTCAAGTACTTTTATTCTGTAAGAGTTTCTCCAGATTTGTGGGTCATGTCCCTCTTTTCTTTAAACAAGATTCAGTGTCACAAGGAGAATATTTTGATAAATTCTATGCATTTTTTAGAAACTCCATATAGCCCTCATTTCACTTGTGTTCATAATAGTTAAATTTCTAAATCTTACACTTGCACGCTTGTACTGAAACATTTAATAGCCTTTACCAGAAGGAAAACTTTCTATTTGTGTAGTATTTATTGATGTTAAACCCACATTATATCAGCACAACAATCCAAAGTAATGATAGTACATTTTTATAAATACAATTAAAAGGTGGCAAAATAATGCTAGTGAAGCTAAACAAAAAAACCAGTAAATTAGCATGTCACAGTCAAGAAAAATTTGGCAAATGATATGACATCCTTTTTCTAGAATATAATCAGATTATTCAAATATGACAGACTATGACATTAATTTAGAGTAACGATCCCCTTAACTGGTCGTATCCTGCACCAGTTTGCATAGAATAGTACTACCTTATGTGCTAAAGTTTATTAGTCACTAAAAAAAAAAAAACACAAAACAAACTTTGTGTACTTACAGAGCAATACATGTATAGCAGTAATGCAATATATGGTGTACACAAATACAAAATTAAAAAAACTCCTAAATACAGGACTTCTGAATAACTGAACTGAGATAAAAGATTTCAAAACTTTTATTATAAATAATGAAAGATACCATATATGTGCTTCATATAAGGAATACAGTGTTTTCCTTTCATAGCGAAGTATGCTCGTACCATCAAATGCTCATTTTTCTTGTCAGGCCTACTAATTCTTCCATCCCTCCCTCCCCTTCGTCTGAAATTCATTTGGTTCTAATTTAAAACTACCTAGTCAGGTTAGACTAGGTAGGGCTCCAGTTTGATGTGGATTTGCATTCTGAAAATAGTCTTAAGGTATTTCACCTACTGCTCACAGACCCTATCCATTAAAAAGGTGTTATTAGCCTACAATAGGGAGGAGAACAACAACAACAACAACAAAAACTAGCAGAGACATGTGATAAGAAAAAAAAAAGGCACAAATTTTGTTGTAGTCCAGCTTCATTCTCTACTTCCTCAGGTCTGTGAACCTATCACTTAATGGTGTATACTTGTCATTTTAAATTCCTATTGCAGTCTCAACCCATTTTTTCACTTACTATACATTCCTAAAAATCCTCATACATACTACAGAAGCTCTAAACAGTCAGATGTCCCATACCTATACTCCCTATTTCTCAGTGTCCTTGGAATTTCAAATGTTTGCATGGTAGTATTACAAGGTTACAGACTGTTTGCAAGAAACCCATAGAGAGTTTCAATGTCTTCCCCTGTCCCCCCCTCCAACCCCTTGCAGTAACTTAATGCAGTGGTTCATATTGTTGGCATTTTTTTTTCCCCCTCTAGATTTCTAGTCCATAGTAGACTATTATTACACTCAGCTCTTATTCTCCATAATCTTGAAGAGGTTACATTATTTATGCTTAAATTAGCTTTACTGTATGTTTAAAAGTAAGCCTCCTATTAGGTGGCAAAAAGGAAAAATACAAAAGAATTAAAAATTATGGTGTCAATGTTCCATTATAGGATTGCCCATACAAACAGCATTTAAGGCAAGGTTGGGTTTTTTTTTTTTTTTTTGTAGAATAGAAAGCAGTTTGCAGAGATGCAGCATTTGCTTACATTTCTCTTCCTTGTCCCTTCTTGTTTTATTCTTACAATATTGCACTTGTTCATTGTAGCTATCAGAATGCATTGCCATTTTAGAACTATAGATAACCATACATTCTAATTTTGTGATCTAATGGCCTCAGATAAAATATTTTGCACCATCAAGATTGTGTAGCATCTAACTTGTTGCTTACGAAGGCATGTAGTGATAAATAGTGTTTCCTTCTGAAAAGTCTGTCTCACTGTAGTATTTTGGCCTTTACGAAAAGGGTTATTCATAAGAGCTGAAGCAACTTAGGTATAAGGAACTGGTGAATGTGATTTGTTGTGCAATGTGTACATTTCTATTAATAATCTAGCTATTCTTCTAATTTGGTATAATGAATAAGGAATATACGGTTGCTGTGTTTGTTGTTTACCTTTTGTACTTGAAGGTGTCTGCCTTTGCATAAAGTGACATAGGAATATCATTGGTCAAGGCAATGGCTTTCAGTGTTTCCGCTTTGAAAGAAAGATGGAGGTGGCAGGTTGGATCTACAGATCATCGCTTTCTACCAGGCCAGACGGCATTGTAAGATGAACTGGATTTGCTTCAGGCTGGAAAGCTGCTTTGATGTCTAGTCCCTGGTCAGAAAGTGCTGCGTATCGACTCGCTGAGGGCCGCACCTTCTTTGGCTTGGTTGTCTGAGGCGGTTGTTGCCACTGGGCTGTAGATTTAAAAAATAATAATAATAAAATTCAACCATCTTGATGTCTGCAATAAAGCTTACCCAATACACAATCAACCATTTGTAAAGGAGATACTAATTCCTGAGCAGCAAAAAAGCATAATATCAAAAATAAGCTTATTTGATTTCTTAGTGTTTTTTTTTTTTCTCAGCAGCTAGTTTCACCTCCAAATGCGGTAAGTAGAAACAACAGTTTTTCTGTTTGTTACTTTGCCTTTATAGCATTGCTTTCTCCCCTTTTCCTTTTATTTTTTTCAAAGTTGTGCATCCTAATACCTTTCCTTCTGTTAGTCAGAAGACTGACAGCGAGGTACTGGTTTCCGTGCACTACTATTACAGTTAGGGTTATTTATTGTATATGAAAGGAAATCATCTGGTTGCCATTGCCAACCCATGTATCCTGAAGAATGTTGAGCCTAATGTACAATTCACATGTCCCACTATCCCTGCCACCCCAGAAACCATCCTTTATTGTTCAGGTTTTTTTCCCTCCTCATTTATTACTCCTATGAAAGGACTGGTGAGAGATTTTGGTTGAAGAAAACATTCATTATATAAGAACCTGCAATGGAATGAACTGACTAATTAAGCAGTGAGCCATAAGAGCAACTGCACTTCTGGTAGCTGTCACAGGTGTATCACAGACTAATGTACAAAAGAATACAAAAGGTTAGGGAAGTGCTAGCAGAGTGATAGTAATAATGATCCACAAAACTAGGGTAATCATGCCATTATCTACTGTTAATTCACTATGTTTAATATAGTAAGCAAAAAAAAAAAAAAAAAAGAGAAAGCATGCATGCTCATTTTGCTTTAGGTATCTGAAAGGTGGTGAAATGTACTTTGACAGAGCATTTGTTGTCTTGATGTGGATCGTTATTATTGAGGAGAAACTATAAACAAAAGAAAAAGAGACCAATGTAAACCATTCTGTGAATAAACTGAAATTTTCAGAACTGTTGCTTTCTGGGGGATTAAATTGATCATGAAAATTGATAGCACTTACTATAAACATCCAACCTGGCAGTGCAAGACACAATCCCAGCCTCATTCTTAGCTGAAACAGTATACCACCCAGCATCCTCTTTCATAGCTCCCTGAATAAGCAGGCAAATGTAGCCGTGGTTATCCTGGTGCATACTAAACAAAAGAGAATCAAAATTACTATTTAAATACAAACCACTGTAGAATACTTTTAAAGGTAATTATAAGCAGACCCAGTCCTAGTTACAGATTAATTATAGCCCACTTTTAATTAATATGAAACTTCCTCTGAAATTAGCAAGTGGAAAATAAAACCTGGAGTAGAGTTAACTATTTGGCAGTTTAATATCCTTTATTAAAAGCCAAGAAGCAAAAATATTTCAAGTAACCTTGCTTTCATAATTACAGATTAAGACATGTAGAAATCTGTAGTAGGGAAGTAGTAGGGAAACCAGAACTTACCCAGACTTTTGGGGGAAGGATAAAAGACTTGACTTGAGGAATGAGGTATTGAAATATTAGTTATTTAGAAGGATAGCAACAATTTATTACAGTATCATATCAGTAATAAGTTTCTTTTCTTGAAATCATGAGTTTGCTCTTAAACATTCCTACAAAATGTTATCAAATATTGATGATAAGTTTGTAGCTCTTAGGATTTAAAAAAGTGTAGAACATCATTACTCCTTCTTCACTCCTTCCATCGTAATGCCATATAAAGTTATTTTTCTGTGATTAAAAACTAGCACTAACTCGTAGTTACATTCATAGAAAATAGTAGCAACAGGCGTATTGGGCTCAACTTTTAGGTGGCTACACTCCTGAAAGAGGCACGGAAAAATGGAGTGCTGAAGAATGAAGGTGACAAAAGCGAGAAGGCTGAGCAAGGAAGGAATCTGCTTGAACTATAATTTAGGAAATGCTGGAGAAAAATGTGTGGTTTTAAGCACTGCCTAAAGCATTTATCTGTAATAAGAATTTAAGCCCAGAGTTCTCGTGCAGTTAGTTCCACTTGTGTGGGAATAACTACACTGTTAGCCAAATAGAGTGCATTCTGCATACAAGAAATCAGGATAGTTAGCTGGGAAAAGGAACACCGGAGGTCTAGTTCCTCCTTTGTTTCTTTGCAAGTATTCTGCCAGAGAGTGAATACCCTAGATATTCCACTACTGTCACTTAAGAAAGCTCCTTTATTGTTGAATCATAGTGGCTTAACTGCACAGCAGAGTTTTGAATCAAGAATTTTCTGCTGTGAAGCAGATAGATAGCTTTACTTAGTCTAGGTTTTCACCAGTAAATTTCTGTAAGCCTTGGGTCTAAAAGGGAGAAAACTGTTTCTCAACTTGCTTAAAGTGCAAAGATAGTTGTTTAAATGCAAGGCTGGAAAACACAACTAATAATATGTTAATTCTGGCTCTGCCACCAGCCTGAATCCAAGTTTGAGTAAATGTCATAAAGCACTATAACAACTAGTTAATATTTACGCGTTGCTGTTCACACAAAGCATACTTTTATGACCTTCTATTCTTTCGTTTGTATTATAGGATAGATAGATAGTCATTGAAGTTATGTATGGGGAGATTATTCTAAATCATGCTAACCTCACTCGGTCAGTGTTGTATGTGAGTGACTCATTCTCTTTCTTCCAAAATATCTGAGGAGATGGCTCCCCCGAGATTCGACACTCCAGTCGCACTGGATATCCCTCAGCCACGCCTGTGTTTTGTAGTTTCTCTATAAACACAGGTGCTTTGTGTACTTCCTTAGCTGTGAAAATAAAGATTGCAGTAATGTTGACACTAGTCTATTAAAATGCAGCCTTTCTTTCAGCAATATGCTAAAAAACAATCATGAAAAATCTAAGTGGCAGGATACTTAGTGTTGCCCTCATTAATCAATCACTCCAGTCCGGGTTCATCTGAAGCACTGTCATATCAGTATTTTAAAAGGAGAACCGTGAGCTCCAGGAGAGCTGATTTCCCACCCTCTAGAAAGAATTCAGATGTGGAGCATCAAGACTAGATGAACTGGGGGCACTGTGCCTGTTAAACAGTGCACCTTTGTAGTCCTTAAAAGTATGGAGGTCTTTAATTATAGCAGGATCCGTTTTACCAAAAGGTTGAAATGGCATTAATTTAATATCCTGTGAAATACACAAATCATATCATACTAACAACTCATAGGTAGAAATGGGTGTGTACAAATTGCCATTAAAAAAACACTGAACTCATTTGTCTGGTTTGTGGGCTCAACGGTGCCTCAGGACAACAGCCCTCTTTTCCTAACTGTGCACACAGAGATCATATGCCAGTGAACTCATGCCAAAACATAACATAAATGTATCACTTACGAATATGGTATAGTTCTATTACTACTCGTTTTCCTTTTTTTTTTTTTTTTTTTAAATTCCCTACCCCCCCAATCTTGTCATTTCACTGCTTATGTTTTCCTTTTTCATATAACCCTTACAGTGCTCAGTATGGACGGAAGCTTAGTTTGAAGATGTTACCTGCAACAATGAGCTCCAGGCTGAATGTATTTTCACCAGCTCGATTGCTGGCGATACATGTGTAGATTCCAGCATCTCGAGTTGTGACTGGTTCTATGATCAAGGAGTGTACACCATTCTCACGCACCAACATTTTGTGAGAACTATCAGGACGAATTGGTCTTCCGTTAAGTTGCCAGCTTAAATCTGGAGTTGGTAATCCACTAACCTTAAGCATGAGCAGAATAATGGGAAATGGTCTTAGACGTACAAAACACTGGAGAAGTCGTGACTTGTTACTTCAGAGAAGTTTGGTTTTGTTTGCTACTGCAGGTGTACCACAAGATTTAAAGGTCTAATTCTATCCTGAATTACACGCTGACTCAGTTGCATTAATTTACTTACCTTCTGGCCAACTCCCTGAATTACAGGATGTTTCATGGGTGTGACTGAAAAAAGATCAGTGTTTAGCTATGCTAGAATCTAAATAATAATGCATTGCAAAACAAAAAGCAGGGTGACACCTTTTGTCTTTTTTGATTGGAGATGTTCCTTTCTAGATTAATTTCTTGTGGAAAACTTGCAGACAAAGGGGCGTTAGCTGACTAACTGTTGAACTCTAAATTCCGTTCCACTTAGGTGGAACTTATTAGTGACAGCGCTGTCTGTACTAATTTATACTTGGTCTGTTTGAACCAAACTTGTACTGTTGAAAGCGATGCCATTTGCTGGAGGTACTGCTTGAAAGCAAATAGCTGCTCCCAAATATATCACCATAAAGTAAACAGAAGAAGTTTGAGTCTTAATTAATTCTCTTAAGCAAAATCATAAATCAAGATTAGACTGTCTGAAACTTTAAGGGGAGATTGAAACTGAAGTGCTGAAAGGATTGAAAACTGAGACGCACACTGTGTTTATAATGTTTGCTGCTACCCCCCAACATAGCTGAATTCTAAAAATCATTTTTTTGTTAGCTGTAAGATTTACCTGAAGCACTCTCATTGGAGACTCAGCAAGCTTTTAATTGCCAACTTGCTCATAAGCAGTGAGACTAATTAACCAATTGACAGTCACTGCAACTGCCAATAGGTTAAATAGCTGAAAAAAAAAGAAAACTTATCTAACTTGTTTTTTGACTCAGCCAACATTATAGAAAGGCAGCGGTTATCCTTTGCTTGATACTTGCCTTGCAGTCCATTCTGCAGAGTTTTCCTTCTTGCACAGTCAGGTCTCCAGGAGCCTGCAGGAAATGAGGCCGGAAGAATCGTTCCTGAATTGGTTCATTTTCATCACCACTGTCCCTTGATCGAGATCGTGGTCTTAAGATAACATGAAATAAAGGTAAATTTTTTTTTTTCCTCTGCTAAATCACAAGAACTAAAATCACTTATCAAATTGTTCTAAATTTTAAGTCACTTAGACCTATAGTAAAATCACTCCATATCTACACACACATACAGGTAGCATTTAGTGCAAACTAAGATAAATATGACACTTTGTACTTACTACTTCCAATAAATGTACATCTTGTGGCAAAATATAATCTAGAAAACAATTTTGCTACAGAATAATTACACTTATAATAATACTTATACGTGATAATATTTTTGTTTTAGAATTAGAATAAATTGCCAAAATACAAATTAAAGTTGGTAGGCCATTAGCATATATCTTCAACTCCTCACCTCTTGTGTTCTGTGTATTTAAGTAAGTCCTTCACTGTTGCTGATTACACCAGAAAGTAAATGTATGATTATGTCTACTTTTCAGAAAAAAATAGCAGCTAAAAGCTAGCTCATCTCACTTGAGACGAGACTTTCCACATCGCATAAGACTTATTTTTCATTTTCTCTTGTTCTGCACTACTGAAGACCATACAGAAAATTCTGTGAATTAGAGTATAACTGCTCTGGATACCTATTTCTCATGTAAGTTTTTTGTTTGCGATATTGCTGACCATTTTCAAAGCCATGAATTGTGTCAAACAATGAGAATTTCATTTGCGAGCAATAGAAAGAAAAGCTTTCATCTGTAAACTAGTCTTAATAAAAGTACCATGAAAAGTTTTAAAAAAAAAATCCTGGAAATAGTACTGATGAGCAGTTCCCACCATAAGCTTCCAAAATACAACTTAATACTTTTCTAGCATCAGCTGTTCTTGCCCGTTCATTTAATCTATTGAATCTTTATTTAAGCAGTTCCTATTTAAATTGTTTTTCATTTCCAACTGAAATCAGAGTTATTCCATTTGTGTGATTTAGAAATTAATGCAAGCATGCCATTAAAACAGTTTTATATCAGTTTTTGTCCTTGCCTGATCAGCTCCAATAGATGCCATTCTAGACCCAGCTGTTACCTACAGTAACATCCTGTTGCAGTGAAGAAGTCAGTCAAATATCTTAAGGCAGTATTTATCAGTGACATCTTACAGTGAGATTCCCCTTTCTGAATGGAAAGCTTCCACATCATATTAGGCCTTGCCCATGTTTCTGTTTTAGCCAACATCTGCAGTATATATGGCTATACTGCATTTTCTCTAACTCAGGGAAATTTCTTTAATTTAAAATAAATCATGACAAAACAGCTTAAACCCCTTAACAATTACATTTGGAATACAAGATGCTGCTGTACTACTGTATGGAAGATAAACACTCTAGATCCACAGATTCTATTCCATTGAGGGAAGTTAAATTAGACTTGTTTGAATTTGGTTTGTTGTTGCCTTTCTCTTTATTGTTGCTCTGTTTGAATTTTGACAGATCATCACTTGTACTACCATAAGTATTATCTGTCATAAATAGATAAATGTTGACTTTTTAACAATCTTCTCATGCTTCCCACAGCTAAATCATAAGCAAGCGTAGGGGAAAAATCTAGCACATACTGCTTCTTAGTTTAGGAATGGCTACTGAAATCAAAAGTGCATGACTTCTTAGATCTCCACATGCACTAAATGCTTATGCAACTTTTAAGCTGAGTAAATCCAGGTCTTAAGTACCTCATTTTTTGCCACTGGGCATGCCCAAAGCTATGCTAGTGATGATGCTGCATGACAGGCTCATAAGGAATGCTGAGCTGTCGTTCCTATCCATTTTGCCTGCATACCTAATCTGCCTGCAGCAGGGATGGAAGATAGATGGCTAACAAAGGCTGCAATCTTACCTCTTGGTAATTAGTTCTGAGACCAACCAGAAATGATGATATCTAGTCAAGTGCTATACACTGCAGGCAGCCCATGCAGAATCTGCCTTCATAATATTTGTATCCATCCTGTTCAGATACTGTTTATAAGATAACAACCTAATGAGGTACAAGTAACTAGTATTTCTTAATATGTGTGTTGCTTGTAAGGCTAAGCCAAATAGGTTAAGTCAATTGGCACCACAGGCATGTGAAAATATATCTGTAAGCCACCATCTCACTGCTTCAGCTACATAAAAATGCTGCATCGGTCAAAACCAGGGGTGAGGGGTTAGAAATCTACACCAGTTGAAGTGGAAGAAAAAAAAAAAGGCTACAAGTTCATGATCAAAGCAATTTTTTTCTGGTGGTATTTTCCCAAATCCTTCCTTAACTAAGTTCTCAAATTACACGTTCAAAAGGAAACCTAAATCAGAATGCTGTTCAGTCTAGGGTCAGAAATGAATAGTGCATTTTGTTTCACCTCTTTATAAATTTACCTCAAAAATTGCACACTACTTTTAAGTCTTTACCTTGAGGGGTAAAACTAGAGTTATTTTTATTTTAAAACATGTTGTGGTTTTAAAGAGGTAACGAAATGAGCGGAGCCAAGTACTTCCGATGTTTAGGAACAATGAATGGCAAGAAGCTGGAATACCCTTGGATTATTTGGAGGTTCATCAGAGTTGTGATATGGACATCAAGTTGCAAAGACAGTTTGAGCAATGCTGACATCAGGTACTAAATGTGTACAGATGGGGGTGTGCACACTCTCAGTGGAGAGACTGTGGGTTGGTACAGATAAATGCACTAGGAATTTCAGAGAGCAAGAACTTGGGGAAGACTTTACAACTGACTACTACAACGATCACTAATTTGGGATAAGGCAGATTATGTTCAAATTAATCCTCTAAGTTAGAGCAGGGCAGTAAGAATATTTCCTTTTTGAAATCTTTCTTAAACGTCATGAATTTTAAAGCTAATTCATTTGGGGCTCTGGTTGCATTTCACTGCAAGACAGTTTAGGTGCCTAAGGGTTGAGTGTCATGATGTCTAAGGGATTTAGCCCCAGCTTTGTACACTTCAGACAGTTCAGAAGTCTTTCCTCTAAAGTAATACTAAGAAGGTAGTATTAGCGGACTAAGCAAAACTCAAAAAAATACAACATTAAAAATTTAATAAACACAACTATAAAGAAATTATTTTAAAATAGCTGTAAAGTAGTGAAGATAACAAAAATAGTGAGATCTTCTGCCAAAAGACATTCTGTGAAACATTTAAAATACTTCAGGAAGAAACCTGTCAACAGTGTAACAAACATAAAGTTCATAAAGCTAATAATTATACTTGTAAACAAGTTTTTGTTGCTTTCAGGCAAAAAAAGTTTATAGAAAAAAAATACCTTAATGCTACAGAAGTAACACTTGCCAAAACTATATGAAAAATACATATGACAAATATTCCAGTGTATTGGGGAACACATTATTGTGGTATGTTACAGCAGAAAACCTGATGGTGGGAGTCTGCCTTAGGAATATATTAAATACTCAAATTTCATCAGTCTCATGGAAAACTGGATGACAGAAAAGTAAGAAATGTTGCTAAACAAAAACAATACTGTGCTGAATGCTTAGTAGAAACAGACCTTAAGTAAGCAAACATAATTAGGATGAGACCTTCAAATCTGGTAATCATATTGGAAATGAGAATTCCCTTTGCTCTTATTTTAATTAAAACTGCTACATGGAAATCTCTTATTTATAACTCCGCTGGATGCCCATCCAAAACTGCAGCAGCTGCCTGAGGGTTTGCAGCAATTAGAAAATAAAATACTAGACATAAGCAGCCTCAGGTTTCAATCACATTAGGGGAGGTTTAAAAAACAAGCGCCCCCTATTATTATTTGAGGGTTCTGCCCGTTGCAGAAAGGAACAGATGCACGTTTTATCCTTCAGAAAGGTGCAGAAGGATCAGCTGCTTAGTGCTCTTTTGCTTGCATTTTCCTTTCTTCCTTCCCAATTTTTAAAGATGTTTTCCACTTTCTCACTTCACATGTGTACATAGACTAATTCAGTTGAAACCTGACTCTTCCTGGCAACTCTTCCCTTTCTGGACTTAACAGACTTTTCATTGCAAACCTGCCATTGTCATTTACCCATTATTTGCAGGTGTAAATTGCTTTATTTACTGGACAGGCTTCACCAAATGGATATAGTTTTTGGGGCTGTTCTGACAATCCGGTGATAGCAGACTATTCCCCTGCATAAATGTTTTGAGCTTTGGGCTTCCTAGGCCTAAATGTGAAAGGTTATGGGGCAGCCGGTAGGACACCTCTATGAGGGATGGCAGGAAGCACCGAAGTACTGTGGGGACCCCAGTTTGTTCAGTGTAGAAATAAGACTGATGAGATCTTTTAAAGAAGACTTCACCCTGGAACAACTTTCTAGTTACCAGAGTGGGGAAAAGAGCCTGGTTTTCATGCAGCAGTTCTATAATACATACCACTACCACTGCTAACTGTTACCAGTTAAGTAAGTATGTGAATTTCCCTATTGCATCTTCATGATAGGTAATTGTATCTACTCTATATATTATAATTAGCCAATATTGAGGTTCTATGGCCAGTAGCCGTTAATCAAAACATGTGCCACACCACCACAGAAACCTGAACTGGAGCCCTTGTACTTCCTTGAAAGCAGTTCTGTTTGGTTAACTAAAATGATTTTTTTGTATAGTCTAAAGATGTCTCAGCTGTGTTAAATAGCCTCATAAAAGCTTTCTGTAAGGAAAAACAATTTTTGAAGGGAAGATTCCCTTATATAGTTCAAAAACATTAATTCACATCTGAAGATTTGGTTTATCACAAACTTCACAAAAGATAAGTTTAATACTTTATTTCTGACTCCTAATTCCTTACCAGAACCTGAACTGAAATCACTGAAATACTAAAATATTTCAAATGTAAATCTAAACTTTGTGGTGTGGAGTTATTTCTACTGTTTCTTTAAATGAATACTTAATAAAAGCTGCAGAAAGTATGGACTCCCAATAGAATCCCAATTCCCAATTAGGTGAGATGTTTTAAAAAACAGTAAGTGGCAAGGTCTTTCCCAACAGCTTGTAGCATAAATTGAGTAAGGAGTAATCAGTGAATGTCTCAAGGCAGGGAGGACAGAGAAGGCACGCAAAATTAAAAATACTTAAAGGGCACATAAATACACTGGTTGCTTATGTTTCTGGGTATGCCAAGTTTGCAGCATTTTTTAGACAGCAGAGGTGAGATTTCTTCCTGTATACCATACTGCTAACTTACGTTCTTACTTCAGATTTGTTATCTATCATCATAGTAATTTTGCAAACCACATATTAAAACAAACAGACAAACAGACAAACAAACAAAAACAAAAAAAACGTAAAGTACCTTCTAACATGAGGCTGACCAGGAGGTGTCCGAGGACTACGGCCTCTTTGATTTACAGCTTGAACCATAAGCCTTCCAGTGCAGCTTACTCTGCCCTGTTATGATGACGGAGAGAAGGAAAATTAAAATACTTAAAAGCATGTACTATTAATAAATTTTCAGTCTGAGTCTTCTTTTTGCCCACCTGTTACAGACCTGCAATACAATCTCTTCTTTCAAAGTCATTTAAAAGCATTTGTCAAGACAGCTTCTGATCTTAAACTATTTTACCAGCTTGTAATCTAACAACAGTTGCGACTGTAACAAAGTCATGGTTAAAATAGTCCAAGGCTTACTTCACATCCCAGAATAGTCTTCTTTAAAAAAAAATAATGAGGAACACCGGCAATGAAGTCATTAATAGCCAATATGCTGCAAGTTATTGATGTGGAAGTAGTTGGGAGATTTCTGCGTTTGGCAAATGAAAAAAAAAAAAAAAAAAGGCAAGATGACAAGATAAGCCACCCTTGTAAATGACACTTTGTCATGACAGAGCTCCTGCATCCAAAGTGGGTTGGTCCTCTTGATCTGGCAGGCTCACAGGTCAAAAGACCATGAATGCAAAAAACTACAGAACTGTTCAAGTACTTAGAGGTTCCCCCCTGAGAGAGACCCTTGTTTGGGGAGAGGAATCCCACTTGACTGCATCGCTGGGTATCGGATAGTCCAGTCTGTTTAGGTTATTCTCTGTGAATGATAAAGCTTTAAATAAAACGTGTGGACTCTTTGTGTTCAGTTCTATGTTCAGTTTTGCTTTGTATCTATCTCATGTCAAACTTTTATTTTTTTTAAAAGATGGATTGGACACTGCACTCACAAATGGTAACTCATTAGGGTAACAACTCAGCTTGCATGAACTCAAAATTGCTGGGCTGGCACAGCTGATATCCAGGGCACTGCAGAATTGACCATATAAAAGGTAAAGGCACCTAGTGGGTCAGCGGCACAGTGGTGCTACAACTAACGGAAGTATTTGCAGGCAAATATGCTAAAAATATTGGAAGTCAACGGCCAGAGGTGGAGTTAGTTAAGTGATGGGATGGAGACAAAACAAGAGCCAGCATCACCTTTGCATCAGCCATTTGAGGTGGACTTGAGTGCCAGAATAGCACTTTTCAGGGCAGCAGAAAAAAGTGCAGAGCTTGATGTAAGAAACAGCAAGAGACTTCTAGCTGTGTGACAGTCTGAAAAAGCCTGTGAGGTGCTAGCCAGAAAATAGACTTCTACACCTTCTGGAGTTAGCACAAAGGGAAGTAAAATGAAGATGCTGCCTAGTCTAATATTGGATTAGCAACTCTGTATGCTACAATCACAGCACAAAACACATTTAAACAAACATCTACACTAGATACAACTATAAAAGCTACATCTTTAATGTATTAAAAATTTATATGCTTATGTATATAACAATGTAATAATTTTAATCACTTACTTAAAAATATATTTTTAAGACCTTGTAGATAAAATATATAAGATGCACCCCATCTGCATTAGCTTTGCAATGTATGTGAGCTCCACACTCGCATCTGCCAGCATGAATAACAAAAGTGACAAATGCGATGCAGTAATTTTTTTTTTTTTTTTGGGGGGGGGGGGGGGGAGGATGTGGAAATAGCTGCTAACAACTGTCCAAAGCTCAGAAAACAATTTCACACAGGGCACTACGCAGATGCCAAATGGTAATGATGCTCTTGTTACTGCTGGACTGTTGGAAATTAAGGCTTTGCATCCCGTTTTTATTCCCATGACCCAGTTAGTCCACGAGAAAAATACTTGTGTTAAAATATGCCATTGCTCATGACCTGGAGCAATTTCTTAAGCAAAAACTTTTTTTTTTTTTGGTGGTACAAGGCCATTAAAAACATCTGGAACAAATACATTTCTATTTTAGGCACCACTGCATATTAACCTTTTGCTGGCAGGTGATGAGTTCAGTCATTTTGGGTTAATTTCTGTGTACCTCAATACATGAAGACATCATAAATGGGAACATGAAGGACTGTAAGGAATTTGGAGAAGGAAGTACAAGTAGGTGGCCAAAGATTTGGAAAAGGGAAGGAAGTGGTGAGGGGCAAGAGATTCATGAGACCATGGCCTAGAACATCAGGAAATACAGACCTAGGACTGGGGGTGCATCTTGCAAAGGAAAACGAAAATGAGATGAAGGGTGGCAAAAATATAGACGTGAGCCCATAGTTACATAGCTACTGGAACAAGATCAGTTAAGGGATGTAACCCTTCACTAAAGGGCTGAAACGCACATGATGATTGATTTTGTGATGTTCTTGGTCCGGGGTCAGTTTGCTCTGGATTAAGTTATACGGCAAATTTTACTGCTGTCAGAGCCTAGATTCCAGACTTGCTAGTGCTAATTTCCAAGGTGTGTTAGCAAGTCATTTTGCATATGGGAATTCTGTAGCATTAGTCCAGCACATCAGAGGCATAAACAGGCAGAGCTTTAATGAACTGGCTTCTTTGCTTTAGTAAACTAAATCTATTTTAGCAACTAAGAGTATGCCTTTTTGTGTTTTACTTTGGTGGTCCTAATGGCCCTGACCAAAACCAACAACAGTCTAGCAAAGTTCTGCCAGTCGTGATGGGAGCTCCCTTACATTCATGTATTTTGCTTTCCCTAAGGAAAGATTGCCAAATTTGCCTAACTTCATGATAGCTTTGAGATGTAGACAACTTTCCATTAGAATTTAGGAAACTAAGCCAAAATTATTTCCATTCAGGATGACTTAAAAGAATTGGAATCCAAATTTTTTAGTGTGAAAGGCTAGCACATTAACTCCTAGCTGTTCTTTGCCTCCACTATACCATTGAATGCATAGTAAAAGCAAGCTAATGCTAGGAGAAATAATTATGTTTACTTGGGAATTACACTGTGAAGACAGACTCTACTGGGCTTGGTGAAACAGATGTTTTGTTTAGGGGGAGCCAGAGGACACTGCTTCTGGTTCTTCTCCAAAGAAGAAAAAAAAAGCACAGGCACAGAATTTTATCATTTCACAAAACTGCTTTTTCAATCCCCAAAGCAGGATCAATATAGAAACTTTACACTTTAGTACATTTAAAAATCCACTAAGAAATGAATGTCAGCAATGGGCAGAGCTGATAATCTAGTTAACTGGTGTGTCATCAAAGAAGCTTTATTCAGAATAACAAATGTTAAGAAAGAGACCCTAAATATGCTTATAAAAATTATTCAGGGACAGATTTCAATGCCCAAACTCAAAGGCAGTTTATCCATCAAGTAATCTAAGATTTCGGCTCAAACGCTAACAGTACATAGTGGAACTGTACATGCAGTAATACAACACTACCAGGAAGATCAACACTACCAGGAAGATGAACGGGATCTGCTTCCTACCTTGAGCAGGTATATAAGTATTTCTCAATTTAAAACTTGCTGTGACTTTGTACAATTTAAATGGTTGCAAGTGTTATAACACAACGCTATTCTATGTATAAAAGTTCCCAGTTTGAAAAATTACCCAGGGCTTGTGCTATTTCTATGAAGTATTATTTGTATACGTGGAAATAACATTTAAGCTATCTAGATATAAGCACTGCAATATGTGTGTGTGTGGGGTGGGGGGAATGGCACAGGATGGGGGCTCGATTAAAACTGCTATTGTGTGTTGTGTGTACGTGTGTATACAGTCGCATACGTTCACAAAGCCGCTGCAACATGAGCAGAGTTGACAGTTAAGAGAGCAATGCAAAAATGGAAGCGTCATGTTAAGTAACCTAGCAACATGCACAACAGAGCACAACACTCCTGTTTAGATTAAATTCTGTCTCTGTGATAGAGTTTGTTATTTTACAGTGTAATCCTGCTTGCAGTTCTGGTCTTGGCAAGACCTTTGGTGCTACAGAAGAGAACAATCCATTATATCCCTAAGTTATGTTACTGCCTTGCTCTCTCATGTGCAAATCATTTCCCTCAACTTGCTGTGCTGTAGGAAAAGTAGATTGAAAAAGTTACTTCAGTAGGATGCTTGAACTGTGACTTTCGTTATGTTCAGTGCACTAGTGGGTTTCTTTTGTATTCCACAGCTCTCGTATTCGGTCTGTGAAGAACAAATGGTATTACAAAACCAGTAACACTGTGTGCTTCAGAAAAAGATTGCTTAAGGCTTTGGGACCAGCACAGCAGGCCTTCCTCTCTACATATTAAGTGCTAGAAGTTTTTTGCCTTGTAGAACTGCAATCACTGCTAATGTAAATACGCTGAGGTGTACACTCCCATTCATTTCAAAAAGTTGGCCTCAGTCACCGAGTAGTGTCAACAGAAGAATAATGCAAGAGGTTGGCTGGACGGGGTTACTTTTGCTGGTAACCTTGATTTTTTCCCCTTGTATAACACATACGCTATCTACGCTCAGTTAAGATACTGAGATAGCTGCTGAAACGAATAGTGAAATAGTGATTAAAAAAAAATACGCCTCCCCTCTGAAACCCCAAACGTTAGGGAAAAAATTGCTGTTGAGTTGCTAATCTGTTGGAGATAGAGTTGTCCCACCCTACTAATGCAAGATGAAAACAGAAATCTAACTTACATAGTTTATGGTGACTTCATCATTTAATTAAATCATGCAAACATAAGATGAGATCGTTTTCTGAAGATTTATGTCCAGAAGCATGTTTGCACTGGAGCCAAACCTTCATTTACCTGTGGGTTGGCTGCCATAATAGTGTAATTCCCATCATCATCCAGGGTGGAGGCTGTAGTATGCAGCGAGCAAGTTCCGTCAGGTTCTCTTTGAATTTGGTAGTGATCGCTTCTTTTTGAAATTTGCTTCCCATCTTTAAACCAATAAATCTGTAGCAAAAAACAAAGCATGGCTGATAAGAGGTGTGTGATCATTGCCACCATTTCTCAATTAACGATGCTAACAAATCTCAACTGCTGAAAACCTCTCTGGTAAGCATTATAAGGAAAACAGTTGGATCCGCTAGTTAAAAAAGTGTAGAACTACGCTCCGTGAACCAGTTTCAATAAAGACATGTTATAGAATAGCCATCTTTCAAAGAGAACGCCTGCAGGACAAACATTTACAAAAGACATTGACATGGGTATAAGAAGGGCTGTACCGATCCCAAAGGCAGAACAGCCCCTGAACGCTTCAAGAACTCTAAAGAAATGTCATTACAAAAAAGAGTTCCAGATCAGATAAAAATCACTAATTTTAAAATGGTAGTTCACTTACATCTGGAAAAGTTGGGCACAGCACTGAAGAATGCTATTGCTGTCTTTTCAGAAAATAAAAGCATAAAATAGATGATTATAGGAATGATTAGTCCTATGATTAATGAAATAGAAGTCACGATCTCATTGTTGAAACGTCAGTTTTGTTGCATATCCGTTACACTGGCTGGACTAGCCCAAAAAAGCCAGAAAGCGATTCAGCCGCTCTCACTGGAGATGAACAAGTTCAGTACGCAAATAGGCCAACTCAGTGTAAGTACATGGTTTAAACCAACAGGGTCACTCAGATGTGACTGACATCTCTAGAAATAGACATCTATTAGAGTACTGTTACAGGACAGGAAATACTTCGATGAGAATATAGATACCCTTTAATAACTGTAGGCCAACAATACTGAAGTTTCAAGTGGTACAGAACAGTTAAATTATCTATCAAACAGAGGTCTTTTCCATTACTTTTGATACATAATTTTATTCTCTGGCTGACCCAATATCTAGCTTTGATGAGCCAAAAAAATGATGTATATAGAACAATATCTTACAGTAATTTATAAATTACACAAAAAACATGTATGTGTTTTTAATGCCTCCTACTTGAAGGGAAAAAAGGTTCAACTATTTTGAACAAGGTTTGGGTGTTTTGCTGTATTTTATCCTGCTGAAAACAAAGGAAAAACAAACAGCATATGCAGGAAAACACACACAGAAATGTACATGGATGGAAAGCAGGTGCAGATACCAATACCAAACTGGGCTTGGGATGGACTAACCCAGAGCTTCGAGAGGTGGATTTGTGTTCAACTTGAACCACTGGGGAACTCTTCCGACCCTGCCACACAGGCCCTTTTTCCAATCAAGTAATTTCTCTTAACGTGACAGGAATAGGAAAATCCAAATACAAAGCATTTCTGACTCACTGCTACTGCCAAAGAGATGAGGAGAAGAACAGGTCCCCCTATGACAGAAGGAAGGAAATACTAACACAACGGATGATGACAGATCTCTCTTACTATATGGCAAAGGAAATTGTATTTATTCTCGTCACAGGATTACTGGGACCCTTAGCATGAGGAAAGCAAACACATTTTCCTTAGTGTAAATCCGAAGTGAGAACTTACATCTTCTAGTGAGAAAAAGGCGCTTGTTTTCCAGTAAAAAGGCAGTGACAAAGCAAAGAAGAATTCCTGATGGAATCTAGTATTCCAGGTTCTTCATACTAGCCAACATTTCAAAGTTCTAATTTCATTCACTTTGGGGAAAAACTAAGGATATACTTTTAAATTTCACTAAAACACAACGGATTGGAGGATGAAATGTATTGGAGGGAATGAGTGGAAATTTCCCTTAAAAATTAATTACCATGTATGGTTTTTATATTAACAAGCATTATGTGCAACTAGAAATGATTTCATTTCCTAAATAGCTGGTTATACTTGTTTCCCATTTCATCTGTCAGCAGTCTTGCAGAGACTCTGTGGTGCTAACAAAAGATTTGGTAATGTCTTCTCATCTGCTGACAGAGCGCTTACTAGAGATGCACAAGATATTTGATCACTTATATACACATGCTAATGGATGTTGGTAACAACATAGCTGCAAAAATGAGTTTTAACTTGCATGCCTTACATGTTTCATAATGTTGCTTAGAATCGACTGCATTAAGTAGTAATTATTTAATAATAAGGCACTTATCAGAAACATCAGGAGACATGCCAGAAATTATTAAATGGAAATATATGCAAATATTAACTGAACCAGATATCCAAATGTCATGCATAGGTTGTTCACCACTCATTTCCACTAAATTTAAAAGCATTGGCATCAATGGTTTTTACTTACGTGTCGTAAATACTTAATGTTATCTTTATCTGAAATGGAGTTAATAAGTAAAACACTACCACTGCTGCATACAATGGCCCTTGTAGTCAAGTATTTTCTTTCTAGGACACCTTTTAACAAATGTGCCATTGAACTATGTAAGCACTGAACACTGCATCTGGATTGCCTTTATTTTTACCAGATTTTCAGAAACCAATGTGTAATGACCAGAAATACAATGGAATACACAGTACAAAAGGGTTTTTGATCTTGGGCAGCACAGTCATTTTTAATCACTATGAATTATATTCAGCCATGTCAAGAGAGAGCAGTGCAAGCGCTGTGCAACATTCAAGTCTCATTTAACCTTTTTTATGGCATTATCCTAATTCTAAAGAGATGTATCCCTTAAAAAGAAATAATCTACAATCCCTTTTGTATCACCACAAGTTCTCATTTTAATGAGAAAATAGTTTTATGTATGCTGAAGGCTATAACAAAAGTAGATTCAGATTTAAAAAGTCATATTTATGTAGACAGAATTTGCACATCAGTATTCAATTTACATGGCATGTTCAGGGGAAAAAATAATCAAGCCAATAACTCTGCTTAGAAAAATCCCTTGTAATGAATGCCAGATTTTAGAAACACTACAGTCCTTCCCAAAGCCATTCCTTGGCAGAGCTGACAGAGCACTTAGAAGGGAGGAGCTTTAAGTTAGTAAATTATTTCCAGCTTTTCATTTGCCAAAGTAAAGAATTTATTCACGGGCAACACTTCCAGCTTCAACAAATGGCAGCAGAAAGGCTGCCTTCAAACCATCGAGCGTTTCAAAATTGCCATCTTGGCATTCTCAGAGGAAGACGCAGCCTTTGACGTTTGCACAGTCCGGCTAACAAGTAGCTATCCAAGGGGACTGAAATTGGTTCCACTCCCAAGCGATTTAAGAAATCTCACAAAGCATCTGCAAGCGAACGGAATAAAGGGTCACAGTCCCAGGTGCAAGAGAAAATCACTTAGTGTGCATACTTTGACACAGAATTGGAGTGTATTCACATCAGGCATGCCTTTACAATGCAGCGTTGTAGGGGAAGTACTAACAATATAGTTTCCTGGCTGTGCAATCACCGATGCCAAAACAAGAAGAGTGAGGGAAGGAAGAAGTGACATCCTCTTTCATCTGTCTTAAATCAGATTAAGTTGACTGTGAAACTACACCTTAATTGAAAACTGTGAAAATCAGGGAATGGCTACAGTTGACTAAGGCTGACTCATAACAGGTCATTCAGCACCTTACTCATAAGCCTCAGGAAAAAAGAATACCTCTGCATCACACTGCACCTCCAACACCAAAGAACTGATTTGCCTTCCACCCTTATTCAGTGTAACAGACTGTTTTATAATATAAGTAGTCAACTCAAAAGCAACGCTGGACATCAAAGGCTTGGTCTCAGTCCAACTGGGCCAGTCTTCTCAGCGTGCATCTACACTAGCTTCAGTTCGAAGCAGGAGCGTGTTTTTGCAATGAGCGTACTGATCATCCCGACTTACTTTGCAGTGGTTCACACTGTGGAGTGGTCTTAGAGCACAGGAACTGGATTCCTTTCAGATGAAACTAAGCCAGAATGTGTGCTCCAAGAATACATCCAATGTGCGGCATCTGCTTCAGTCTATGGGACCTGATTAGAGCTAGCTTGAAGTAAAACCTCCTGAAATGCATGCAGGGATGGACACTTCACTCTACAGATCTGCTCCTCTCGGTTTGCATTACTTGGTAACTACAGTTAGCAAGTACACTGCTGTAGTTGCCTGCTATTCTTCCTCTGCTACCTGACAAAATCCATTTTTCCTTTTTACAGTTTGTGTAACATCATGTAGCTATAGAACTGGACATGTCAAGTCATTTGCTTTTATCTCTGTTCAAAATCCTAAATACCTGTAGAACTTGCACGACATAAGAGATCTGGATGCTGTTGTGGCCTTTTTTTTAGAGCCCCCAGCCACAAGAGGTCACTGTAAGAGCCGCAAGGACCTCACTGGTCGATGCTGGCTTTGGCAAGGAAGTTTAAGAAGCTGCTGCTGTCCATCAGCTACAAAATGAGTCAGTTGATTGCTGGGCAATTTTTGAAATGGTTAAGCATGACCTACCAAAGAAAGGTATTATTCCAGACTACAGGTATCACATCAGCTGGTACTTTTATATTTGCTGAAATGAAGCCTAGTCCTCCTTCACAAGTTCAGCATCATAAACATCACCATCAAGTCTCATCTTGCTATTGGGATACATGGGAGCTGATGGTATTTTAATCTGCCTTCCTCTAACTGCCAACAAAATTTAGCCTTCTTGGGATGTGCAGATATAAAACATGTAATGCTGCAGAATGCAGAGATCCCACACTGGCTCCTGAACCAGAGGCAATATATTTTTGCATTAGCATAGGGCTGTGCCTGAGCTAATCACTCATGTCAACCTGACGAGGCTGCTTTTGGGACCACCGTGCCACCTCACATGGGGATTTATAGCATTGCACTGCATTCTGTGCTACAGATCTACCCTGAAGATAACTCTGCAAATGATAAAAATATCACTTGTAGAGGAAATAACTGAGATAAAGTCTCAGGAAGGAATATGCTAGATGGGGCCTCATGGTGAGATTTTTGGCTGGTATAGATTACATAATTCCTGCGATGTCAAAAGAGATTTGACAATTTACACCAACTGGGGATCTTTCTGGTCAAGAGAGAACATCTGCTATTCCTGTAATACACAGCCCACTGTCCAGGTGGTACTGTCCAGGTGTCCAGCGAGGTGGCTCGCTGTAAGGTACTAATATGGCACTCTTAAGAGTGCTTCTAGAAATGTCTGCCCTCTTTCCTTACCTTTGGCTTTGGGTTTCCTGCCACTTTGCATGTAAATGTGACTGGCATTCCCTCGAAGATTTTGTAATGCTTCAGCTTTATCTCAAAATATGGTGACGCACTGTTATCAATAGGATCATCTCCATGTTGCACCTCGTCATCTGATTCCTCCACAGGAGACCTTTCCAGCCTGTATTCAATTTCACTGATCAGTCTTTGCTCAAAGCTGGAGACTTTATACTCCTGTGAAACAAGAAAGGTATATACTAGCGTCCAACTTCAGCACACTGCGTAGCAAGATGTGTTTCTAACAATTTTTTTTTATTCTACTGATCTTTGGCAATCCATTAAGATTTTACATATAAAAGGAAACTGTATCTTGTTGAAGAAAAACACTATAATCCATGCCTTCAAATAACTTCCCTGTGAAACAATGAAGACATCTGGTACGAGGCAAAAATTGTATTTCATGTTGTCTTAAGGTCTAATTTATAAGGGGAAGGAAAGGCACTGGTTGCTTTCTTTCCATTTTTAAAAAAAGCCTATAAGAATAAAAGTATTCTGAAGCAGTTCATAAAGAAGAAAGACGCACACTAATATTTCCTTGAGGGTACACACAGATTTAGGGCAGGTTTTGCTTCCAGATGGCCAAAAGACCATATGGTTCACATTTGCAAATTGCACAGAACCGTCCTGGAGGCTGCACCAGAAGGCTACAATGATTTTATTTACAGTTGCCAATAACAATGACAAAATGGCACCACTGGCAAACTATTACAGTTGCCTCCCTTCACTCCTGTTACCATAATCCCCTTTGCTTGGCCAAAAGTATCACAACTTCTTCCTCAGAAAAACAATTTGTCTTGAGTACATTCAAGATTTAGAAAGACGAGTAGAATGTTTCAGGCAGTGTAAAACACTACTACTCGTTTAAATTTGCTATTTAGACACTGGGAAATGTTTCTGTGACATGCACAGTATTTCTTTTCTTGAACTGTTCACTCCATCTACTTTACAGTACGAAGGTCCTGCGTTGAATCTCAGTCATAGCAAGATAATCCCAGAATGTAAGAAAGCTCAGAAGCAAGGGGGTGGCGGGGGAAAGAAAACCCACACACCCCAACTCTTAGCCAATGCTCTCAGTCAGCAGAAATTTAGGCACTCTTTCAAATGACCTTCGACGGTTGTCTCTGACCCTGTTTTATTTAAGATCAACGCACATCTCGCATGAAGCCCCTTTCATATACCCCATCCTCTATCACTGACTCTGGTCTAGGAATGACATGTAGCCTTTCTACGGGCTGGTTACAGAACTGATCATAAACCTCAATAAAGGAAAAAATAGGAGAAGAGAGAAATACCTTTGTAAACTGCAGATATTTTTTATTTCTTTGTTCCCTGAAAGTTTATCATAAAAGTAAATCAAGAAGTACACATGGTATATATACAAGAGCAGCTGATTCGGATGCAAAACAGTTAGTATCAGGATATGTTAACATTACTGCAGAAAGATACTGGAACAGCCCAGGCACTGCAGTTAAGCCGTCTGCACTCAAATAATTAGGCTTATTGACAGAATTTAACACCATGGAGGGAGTACATCCTCCCAGTTATTAAAAGCTAGGGGACCTCTTATTATTAACCAAGAGTAGTAGCAGGGAAAGGTGAAAGACAACAGTTAAAAAAAAAAAAAAATCAATGGACAAGAAAAACAAGAAAGAAAAAGGTGAAAACATTAACCTTTTGAATATCCACAGGACTCACTACAGAAGCATCAATAGAGCGAGCTTCCTGTAAGGGTAGAAAAAAAGATCAAGAGGCAGAAAGAAGACCAAGAAGAATCCATGACAATTTCTCAAGAGTTTTTACCAGAACGCACTGCATGTGGTAACATAAGCAAACGGATTCTACACAGCTCTGAATAGCAGCTCTGGCATCTGAACAGACAATAGGGAATGTGTACCTGGCCCTTCAAGCAGACTAGCTGCTGTGTTTTTTGGTCTGCATCCAAAAAGTACGGATTACACACATAAAGACAAGATGGTTTCAAGATAGTAGATGTATTTTTGCCTTGAGAGACTTAAAGGTCAGGACAGAATAGGATAAACGGAAGAGTTTAAAGTGGAAAGCAGGCATTTGAGAACTCTCAACCTTATTCAGTATGGAAAAACTGAGCAATAGCATGTGATTCTCCAGTTTACTTCAATGATATATAACATATGACTTCTGTAATCAAAACCATCCTATCTTCTGTAATTTACTGTCTTATGTAGGTCTTTAAGGGAATCACTGCCTGGGAGGAAAAAAAAAATGAAAGAAAATTTTTATTTTCCTATGAATGTGCAGAGTTATGTAGCACCTGTATAGCCGGCTCCTCTTCCGGTTCTTGTATATTGAAGACAGTAGCAGCACTGTCTGCTCCCAGCAACCGACGAGCCATTTTCTCCTCATATGTCAACCTCTGAACAAAGAATTAAAAAATGGGGAAAAGGAAAAAGAAGAAAGAAAAGTTATTGTTTCTCATTAAGAACTATAAAGGCAGTTAAAGAGTAAGTAACGCTTCCACAGGGAAATCTGAAAATTATTTGGCTTAACAACAGAATTTGCTTCTGTACTTCATTTTCAGTATTGTTCATTCTGTGTTTTAACTGTAAAAAGCACTTAAACAGAAAATAGGATTTTTGTACCATAACAAACCATCTGCTTTCTCCTCACTACAGGAATTCATTCATCTGTTTGTGACATCAAATTGATTTTGACAGGAAGCAAATACAGGATCACAACTTCTAAAGAGTAATAAGCAGGAAAGGGTGATACAATTACTCATCAATAAGGAAGTAATTTCATGCAAATATTCTTCCTAGGCAAGAACAATATAAAAACAGGACTGAAAGTATAAGGCATGCGTGGCACACAATTTTTGTGCAATTTTTAAAACGTCACGCAGACCTTGGCAGTTTTAATTTTATTCCTTAAAATAAAACATTTAGCTCTTATCTCAGGAGGTTCAAAGCATACACACCTTCAAAAATCATTACAAAGGGAGGAAATCATAAGTTAACTCCTTCTGGATATTCCAAAAAATAGTTTCTTTTCTTTGCTATACGATGACAATCATATTCTACCCAATCAAATTGTCACGTATCGTCTCTTCACAGAGAGAATCTGGAGGACTTGACAATCGATACTTATAAGCTCACTATGGCGTTTTGAGCAGCCACAAAATCTTTTTATAAAAAGTAGGAACAAATCTTAAAATAAGTTTTTCTTTGAACAATTTAGCAGAAATTTAATTTAAAGTAATGTTCATAAAAGAAGAGTGGCAATATGTTTCTAACTGCAAATCTCTACTGCAGCTTGTAATGCATTTTTTTTGCATTACCAGTGGCTCTTCTGGCTTAAGCAACCCTTGCCCTGACTCTGCCATTTGTTTCCATCCTCCTGCCAGGAACTTGGGCAGGAATGAACAATGGAAACCGCTTAAATCAGCATGGCCATCAAAAAAGTGCATGTCAAATCAACCCAAACCTTACTCCTAGTTGTTCTGCTTGATTCCTACATTAGAACCACAGGGCAGCAAACTGCCAAAAATGCCTCGGAGAGTCACCCCACTTGATTATTTTGACAAAAATATAATGATAGTTTTATAGAAAAATATTTTCTTTTAGATTTTTAATTCCTATTTCTTTTTATTCTTTTGCAAATCAAGGACACAGCTTAAAGAAGACACAGTGGCAGTTTACACTCAGAAGGTAAAGAAAGTTTAAAAAAAAAAAAATTTGTAAGGGCACAATACAATTATTCCATTATTATTTTTCCTTCTACATTCAATAACACACTTCATGCACCTAAATGCACTTACAAACTTTCTTACATACCAATATTGCAAAAATATTGTCAGTGAATGGAGGGCAAACTCACTGCTCACTGCTAAAGTAGCAAGCTAAGACCTAACAAAAACTGGGTACTAGTCTTGGCTTGGTTACAAACATCTAAACAAATCATAAACTTTTCTTCACTTTAATTTCTTCTGTGATCACTCCAAGCACCCACAGCCATGATTACACAAACAGAATCACCCAGGACAGGAATTTGTGAGGCAAAAGCCTCAAGGCGAGCACAAAAGCACAGAGTTAACTTGGTTCAAGCTACCACATCATCTGATCCCAGCTTTCTTTCCTCAGGCCATGTGGGCTTTCTCAGGACATTCCATTCGTAGGTCCAGGCCAAACATCTCGCTCGCTTTCCAAAATAGGCATTGACAGCCATGTTCGGCACAGCTCCTATGAAAAACGTGAACTTATACACTGCCAGGGTGATTCTGCTCAACTACAAAAGGAAACTGCCAGACTCTGCGCAGTCAG